AGCAGTTATCGACGGGCAATTTCGTTTTAGGCCATCGTGCTATCACGAGACTCGATCAGTTGATAAGTTTTTATTTCTGCACTTTATTGTATTGCAACTAGTAATATTTCTAACAATATATTCATGAGTTTAATAGATTTTTAATTTACCAATGGATGATATCAATTTGATTGATCAAGTATTTCGATGAGTTTTGAGAATGAACGAAGTTGGGAATTCATATTGAGAACCATAATTTTTTAAATTTATCAATCAGTGTTTAGCGATGACTAAACCTCAAGATCTATGATTTGTTCATATGATTGATAAGGAAAATATAACTTTAATTTGTAAGAATAATTAGAGAGATAAAACAATCATTTATGTTGATACATAATTATTGAATTTCGAATGATATAAATATATATACGGTAAGTCAGTGAAAAGTATTACAACTTCTCTGTTTTTATATTTTCTAAGAGTTCAATATTTTGTCTTTAAAGGGAAAAAAAAGAATAATAATTAGATTGAATGATATAGGGTCAACTAGACATGAACTAATAATAGAATCTTGCAAAATATATGTTCTAACAGGTCCTTGTGATAGTTTTATAAGTTTTTTAACTCAATTTTAATTGCTTTGAAAGTTCTAAACTTAATTACAATTGTACTTGAAGTTCATAGATTATGTGTGTAATTAAATCAATTGTCTAATTATACTTGGATATGGATTAACCATAATTGCCTATATATACATGTCTACGGGCTAAAATTTATGGAGAAGAGAAAGAAAAAAAGAGAAGACAAATTTTTTTCTTTGTCGGTTCAGTCTAGAATTAGATTTTTAATTCAATTTAAAAGGTTTTCACACACGGGTATTGTAATACCCCCAAATCTAGATACCCTGACTTGGAAGCATTACCATTTGAATTCTCTATACAGGATTTTAAACGTCATTTAATGGCTCAGTTGCGTGAAAAAGGTTTTGACGCGGGTGAGTCTTATCAACCCCAAAAAGCTACAATTTAATATTCCAATATTGCATAGTAAACATACTTATTTTTTGAATTCTAATGAAATAGGTATTTGCAAATCAAGGTGGGAGAAAATGGGTGGCTACCCGTCTAGGGATTACGAATACATAGACGTATATTTCTCTGAAACTCGCTTCATAATCAAGTTTTCTTAGCCAGAGAATTCACGGTAGCGCATCCAATAAGCGATTACACCTCTTTGCTTGAAGTTTTTCCATCAATATATGTTGGCAAAATGGATCAGTTCAAGAAAGTGGTGAAACTAATGTACAGAGCCTTGAAGAAGTCATTGAAAAGCAATGACCTCCACATGTCGCTGTGGCGGCGACTTGCTTACTTGCAGGCCAAGTGGTTTGGCTCCTACAAAAGAACCATTAATGAAATTCCAGGCCATAAGGCATCCAATGCCAATGAGGGTATATCTTGGAAGAGATCAATTGGGTTCGTTCTGGTGCCGACAATTTCATACAGATGCAAGGAGGATTTTGGTAGTAAGGTCTGTGAGAGAGTAGAAAACTTGGCTTCGTTAAACTGGCCATGCAATTCAATGCTGCCTTAGGCTACATGCCTATGCTGTTGGTGACGCGGACTAAATAAGAGTGCGGGTGAAAGGGTTGTTGTATATCGAACAAACAAAAAACAAAGTTTAATCCACATGAGTGTGACTAAACAATATAACAAGGTGATTGAAAATGTAGTATGAAAACTACAAATGAAAACAAAGGGTTGCCACAAAATAAAAAAGAAGAAGAACAACAATTTGAGATAGGTGATTTTCACTCTTTTCTTAAAACAAAATTACCCCGCAATGGTGCTCACGATTCACGTCACATGTCTCCCAAGATACAATGGATTCAACTTGTGGTAGAAGCACTTCAAACCACAAGTTATAGCGAACTTTCGTCGGAGTTTCTCTCTACAAATAAGAAAACAATTTTGAATGAATTTGGAAGTGATTTGCAAGAGTTTTTATGCGATGATCAATGCAAATATAGTATGAGATGCCTAATGGACGTCTAGGATCCTATATATAGAGGATGAGAGGTTGTGAATGAAGTGTCGTGTCTCAAACTCAACGACTCTTGCCAAACGTCACATCATTCACTGTCGCCCTGTCGCCATCGCCTCGCTTGAGGGATAAAAATAGTGACTTCGTCACTAGCCTGTCGCTCGAGTGCCAGTCCAACGCCAGGTTAGCGACACTTAGGCAAATATCCAACAGTTTCTTTTATTTTCTTCCCAGTTTTAGACAGCAATTTCTCATTCATTTAAAATTGATTTTGAGATTCTACATATACCACAACGATCTACTCAACCAGTAGAACAAGTTAGCATATTTACATTTGTAATTTGACCATTGGATAAAGTCGGAATATTTGACCAAAGTTGACACGAAAGTCATTTTTCCAAGTTTTTTTTTTTTATTTTGACACTTAACCAAATTTTCAATCTTCTAAACCAATTTCCAACATATGCCTACATTGGATTTCTTGCATTGGGGTGTTAGAAAATAGTTTTATTTTTGCACACTCTCCATTTCTATAAATTATTGTTTGTAAATATGTCATTTAAGTGAATGAGGAAATGAATAGGGATGTAATGGACTCCCCGAATTGCATTTGGTGATCAACTATTGTTTATGAATTATTTACAAAATATTTCGTAGCATCCATCAGTAACTGCACAAATTCCATATTGTTTGTCATAATTGCAATAATCGTCACTTTTTGCGCTTTCATATCAACCTTTCATTAAATGATCGAACGTTAAACAAGTGCATGTTTTGTACATGATATGCACCACTTCAATATCGTTTACATTCATTGTGCAAATCAACCTTACGATTTCACCTTTAACATTTGAACATTCAAATCGATCATTCTTTCTATTTCATTCCATCCATTTCTGCATCAAATGAACTGTGCAATCCACTCGTGTGATTTGCCCAATAGTAATTTGGTCAAGACGTTAATATGCCATCTTTCCCAAAAAATTCCAAGGGTTGATATCTTTCTATATATAAAAAGTGCCTATTTAACGGAATTTGTTGTTTTATCGAATTATGTAACTGAATTTTTTGTTTTAAACATGCAGTTGCACCTTCCTTCAGTGTTTTTATCATAACTTTGTATTCCGATGTTCGATTGAGGCGATTCAAAATGGTTGGAAAGCTAACCCATCTGGCTACAATTTTGATTCAGATATCATTCTCCAATTCGATTACTTTCTATGCCAAAAATATGTCTCAATATAACGGACTATATAATGGAATATTTTGTTTTAAACAGGCAGCTGCACCTTCTTTCAGTGTTTTTATCATAACTTTGTATTTCGATATCCGATTGAGGCGATTCAAAATGCGTTGGAAAGTTAACTCATCTGGCTACAACTTTGATTCAGACAAGA